CAGAAAACACTGGTAGAACAATAGTAAAGTGTGTTGATAGAAATTCTCCAGCCACTAAATTCCACATCTAAATTTAATTTGTAGACCAATAAATGCAATTGCTAGCACGAACATGATTGTAAATAGATATTACTGACTTGGTGCAAGAGATAAGGAAGATCATCACAATTCTGTTTTCTAGGAGTCTGGATGGATGAAGGAGGGGGTTTGCACAGAGCACCCAAAGACAGCACAGAAAGTGAGGCTGTGCCCACACTTCAAACCAGGACTGCAGTACACAGGCATGCTTGAGTCTGCATCCAGAGTGACAGCAAAGATGTCGAGGGCTGCTTAACCTTGAGTGGCACACATAGCATCTCTACATTCTGTGAACTACCAAGACTAAAGCTAGCTCAGATATGACTATCTGCCACCACTTTGTTGAGGCTCATCATGGAAGGCATCTTTGAATCCTACTTATGCCAGATTTTTCTTCCTGCCTCAAAGAGTGCAGGAGGGAAGTTGTACCTAAACACTGGTATTTAGTCTTCTCATCCCTATGCTACCAGGCTCCTGAAGATGCCATGTTTAACCTTATCTATTGTACACTTCTGTAGCAAACCATTTCTTTATTTAAGAAGTGTAAAACAGGAGGACTTCTTAGCAAAGACGACCTTGGTAAAGAAACTGTCTTAAACTATAACCAGGTATCGTCATATAAATACTAATGAAAATCTTAAAACACCATAATCTACTTCTTCTCCAAAGTGAGTTTCTCACTAGATTCATATTAGGTAAGGTGGCAGATTTATTATCTTCATTTTCTATAGTCACCAGAACCTCCCCTCAAACCAGTATGTTAGCTTAACTACGAAGTAGTACTCCTCTTCCTTATTTGCTGTGAACAGTTGTTAAAAGTGATGCTTACAGAAGTACAGTAACATAAAAATTACATGGTTATCTTTAAGAAATTTACAGAATCTGTGCATCCATAAATCTATATTCAAAATGTGCACTACATGTTTACGGATGTAATGCATACTTGCTTCATTTACAGTGATAGACAACAACAACAGTATATGCAATAAACTATTAAGCAAAAAATACCGTTAATCAGATGACCATGAAAACTTAAGCCTCTTCAACAATTAACGTCTTTCATAACACTACTAAAAGGATTAATGAAAATTGAAGTGTGAAAAATGTACATTCTTTATTCTGCTGTTTAGATACAGAATAAAATTTAATTTTTCAGAAAATAAAACTATAGCTACAGCTTTGAGAGCTGTCAGTTTGCTTTTGAGGATAAAGTACATGCACTTTTTCCAGTTACTTTATTGCACATAATGTACAGTCAGAAATGGTGTTTTATTTACATGTGTTTTGGCAATGTCCACATTCGTTTTTCCCCTCAGAATACATTACTTTGCACAAACAAAACCTTAAATGTTTCACACAAACTGCCGTAAGACAAGTCAAAGCATATATATATTGATTTGTTGCTTCTAAGAGTTTCAGATCTCAGTTAATCTTTGCTCTGGGAGTCAGGTTCCTCCCAGTTAGTCTGCTGTCAAAGACGGACATCCGAACTGTTGGCACTAAGAAAATTAGCACTGCGACCTGCTGTGCCCAACACCCATCTCCTAAGCAGAACCAGACCACCTGCAATTAGTGCGCGGGCACATAGAAGGAAGAGCACTGTAGTTTCATTAACCAGTTTGATTCAACATTGATTACCATGTGTTAATGTTATGGTTCATGTGTTATTTGGACAGTATTCCATTAACAGTGTTTTAGGAAAACATATCAAATACATTAAAACCAAAATAGAAATTCCAGTAACAATTATGTACTTCCAACCCTAGGAATGTGTACTTGGACTCCATTCCGTACAATGTTCTATTTATGATGACTGCTATTTTTACCCAGAGACAAAGAATTAAGTTTTTTATGCTCCTAAGTATGTTTCTCAAAGTTAAAGTAATTTCTTAATGGATTACAACACACTTCAGTGTTTCCCTGCATTTTCAGGGCACAAAACTTTTTAGTGGTCCCCCTCAAAGAGTACAATCTGGGAATAAACCATTCGTTACATGCAGACTTTGGACATACTTTTAAAAGGCATGTTCAAATAGTACCAACATTGTCAGTATACTTTGAACATATGTTCATTAAAAATATTTGAAAGATGTCTCTGAAGACTCTTTATGAAATAAATTCTGCATTGATAACAACAACAACAACAACAAAAATACTCTCAGAGAAACCAAATTTGTTGTACTTTAGTACAACAGTTCAGTTTTAAGAAGTGCATAGCATTGCTGAGATTTTACGTTGAAAGGCTCTATGATGTTTTTGTTTATATTCAGACCTACTAAAAAATAGATTTACCTAAAGATAAAATCCCACTTTATTGGATGGAACAGCAACTCTCAAATTGACTTGCATGTATGATCTTTCAAATGTTAGGACAATTTAACCCCAGAAAAATAATAAAGAACTACCTGGCTTCAGTGACATAGCAACATTGTAGCCATCCAGATCTAAAAATAGCTCATTTTTTTCCTATAAGCAGGCAAACTACAAAATAGTTAAATTTTCAGCCAGGCACTTACATAAAAGGCAAAATGCATTTCACGGACAACAGTTAGCAAAAAAAATTGATTTTAGAGTTTTCAGGGTTTTTTTGCTGTCCTTTCAGCTTTAAAGTACTTCAAAACCTACAGTAACTTTTACTACTGCATATAACAAAGAATGAGATGAAAATGCACTGTGGACAAAGTATGATAGCAGTTCAGATCTAATAAAAAATACAAAATAATAAAAATATTACAGAAAAGCAGTAGTTCTGGGAATAGAAGTATTCTTCAATATAAAGTACTAATCTTTTGTCCCATCTGAATAGTTTCACCTATAGTGGAGAGAGTACTTCATAAAGCTTAAATGTGTACCTCTGATAAAATTCTTCAGGAATATAAATTATTAGTTCTGAAATGAATTTGTGCCATTATGCAAACAAAAGGCCCTGATGCTATCTGTTGTAAATGTCTAATTTTTTTATCATCTGCTTGTGGCTGACTTTTAGGATAGTAACATATTCATGATCTGTTAAATTAAAAAATATTTCTGTACAAGTGAAACTATTCTAAATGCATTGATATTTCAGCTGTACCTTTACAGTTTTGTAAAACAAAGAGCTACAATGCCATTAAAAACTATCAAACATCTTCATCAGAGATAGACTATTTTTCCTATAGACTATATTTCCAAAAATAAAGATGCATTCTATTTTAATTATTACCAATGCTGTGAGAACTTTTTAAAATTAAAGTTTTATACTGCATGGATTTCAAGATACGTAGATTGAAACATCATAAATTAAAGAAGGCATTTGAACGGATGCAAGGACTCCTCATCTGAATCTTTACTATCTACAGGAAAAAACCTGGGCTTTCACAAAAACTGTTGGTATCTGAAGAGTGATCTACATTGAAGATCTCCCTCAACATTAGCTGTAATTACTGTCCACTTACAAATTACAAATCTAGGAGGACCACCCAGGATATGTAAAGGAGCCTCAGACAGCGGAAGCTTTAAGAGCAAAAAAATATTTGCATAGATGTACATTCAAAACAGCATTTTCACCATTTCAATTCCCTGCTTTCATGTTGCTACAGTCATCCACAGGGATAAAGACCATACAAAGGCAGCCCTGGAATTTGAAATGGCTGTCGCTTAGTAATTTAGCAAAAGGTGTATTTTTGTACTTTCTGCAGTTGTTAGGAAATGATCCAGTTTGACCTTTGGCTTACGGAAATTGTACTCCCCTGAGCAAGGCAACAGTGATAAACTATACCAGAAGTAAAAAAGAAAAAAAAGTTACTTAAAAATAGCATGACATGACAAAAATAATACACTTCTGGCAAAGAAAACTGCCAGATTTTGTATTTTGATGTATGGTAATCCTATCTAGAAGTACCTTGTGCTTAGAAATGTCACATGATGCAACAGTGAATCAGGTGCCAAAACCAACAAATCACAAATTACTGTGAGGTTAACTGCAACCTCTGAATGGTTCAACAAAGAATCAAACTGGTTTCTGTACACCATCGCGATTTACCAATACACTGGCATCTTTGCTCTTTTGCTGTGAGCCGACAGTAATTATTTTAGAGAAAGAAAAAGAAAGTGTGGAATTAGTAATGCAGATGCTGAAAGGCAAGTGGCAAGACTCTACAAGAAGAATGCCTCAAAAAAATGCTACTTTGTTCCCATTTCTACTGGCTCCTATTCCCCAAGGTAAAAGGCCAGAATGACCAAAGCCAACTTAATAGTAGTGTGCAGAATGTCAGCTGACAAACAACATAAAAACAAGTCACGTTGTGTTATCTGTGGTCACGTTCTTCAGGGTTAGTCCAGTAATTCAAGACTTTACATTCTTCCGTCTTTATTTGTTTATTTTAATTAAACATGTAATGGTTAATAAACAGACATAGTCCAGAGTTAGTAGGTTGGTATTATAACATTTATTAAAATAATGCTATGGGTTAATAGAAACAGCAAAGAACCAAAGAATTAAAATGCAAGCTATGTAAAAACCCAACTAAAACCCAAATATGTCTAATGTATTCATCCAGTAGCTAACTAAAAGCCCAAGAAAGACAACACTCCCAATATAATAAAGTACTGCAAAACAATTGGCATTTTTTCAGTTATCAAAATTGTGGGGTTTGCATTTTGTATCCTTTTTTCTCAATCAGGAAAAAAATTCTTTTGAATGTTATATAACATACATATAAAACAAGATAGAAAAATACATTATAAACTTGTAACAATGGCTGTAAATACATTATCTTACATGTTTCTCATAGGCAATAGGTTGGTTATGGTACATACATAGCATGAAACTACTAAGATAATAAAGAACAGACAAATACATGTCATCTGTATGGTTACATACAAGCGACACTCCCATCTACCCACTCTAAAAAAATTACATAATACTGTCAGAAAGAAGTCTTAAACTACTTATTTTAATAAAGAAAAAGTCATTAAAGGATGATAATACTGAGAACCAAGGCATTCAGAGATTTCAAAAGTCATGCTTTTTTTTTCTTTAAGTTGATCCAAAATTTTGTCAACTAAGTTTTCAGAAGTTTGTTCAGAGCAAACGTTACTTTCACATGTCACACATCTATTTCATACACTTCCCCTACCCCCCCAGTAAAAGACCTTTGATAAACATCTAAAATGTCCAGGTTTTATCATAGTTGAGATGAAACTGGATCAAATACTGGTATTGTTTTAGCAAATCTATCCTCAAATGTTTGAGTGTCGCAAGTTTATTCAACCAACCAACCAAAATAAAATCAAAATGGCACAGCATATACTTGTAAGTAAAATCAACACAACTGTATGTGTAACAGGAAGACAAAGCCGGTGGCATGATAAACAAAAAGCTAGCTGAATACGAAAGGATGAATGTCTATTGCATAGTAAATAAACTGATAATTATTTTCAGGTGAGACAAGATGTTAGATGAGGTCACCATGCAGGTGCTCAAAAATGTAAGCCCTCTTAGCTTACCATTGACCTTTCATTCGGAAGCTGTGAAGATTTGCAGAAGGAGAATAAGTTGACAAGAGGGGAAAAAAGTTATCACCTGATATTTGCCAAGTATAGTACTGAGCCCCACACAAAGTAATACTTCATGTTTTCAGAATTAAACGCTGTGTGTTCAACAGCTTCAGCTCTTGCAATTGCCCAGCTGTACGAATCTCATGTGGAAATAAAGGTTAAAAATAAAGTATAGCTGGACTTCAAACAACCAGCTGACGTCCCTCTCCTGCTTATCTTACGAATAAAAGCCAGTGGGCAGATCTAACGATAGTCAAAGAAGAGCTGAAAAATAAGTAACTTGCATGCTGTTTGCCACTGCAGGAGCTGCTTGGGAAAACTGGGGACATGCTCAGACTACAACTGAAATCTAGCTAAGCACTTTCATTATCCACCAAACATCAGTTTTCTGGGTGATGCCAAAGCCTACTGTATTTGATGAATATTTAATCCAAACAAAACCAAGAAAACTCCTCTCCATCCCTGAACAAAAATGACATACTTCCAGCTGTACAAACATTTGTCAGCTAATAGTCTCATTTAGCATGAGAGTCTGTATCGCAGAACCCTTTGGTTTACATTGCACAAGTACGGCATTTGCTATGACTTAAAAAGTAGAGTAGCTGAAATAACGATGGGCTGCTTTGACAAAAACTTAGCAAATATTTTACATAATGAGATTTTGGCAAAGTCACATCACACTAGTATGGCAAAAATCAGGTAATTAATATGGTCAACTCATCATTTGTCTTTCCTCACAGCTTCTTTCACATACTGGGCGACTGAGTGGCATGCAGTAACTTGTCTGAGGGAGAAGCTGATTATACAAGACATTTGACTAAATGACCATGAAGAAAATAAGGCACTTCCTTTTCTTTAGACTTATTCCAATACTTAAAAAATAAAAAAGAAAGACTAAAAGGCTCTTTTGGTCTTTTGTTTCTTGACAACCACCAGAAAAAATCATTTAATGAAATAAAGGGTTTCTTTGTTCTTTTTTTCTTTTTTTATAACACTTGAAAGTATAAAATGCTACATTTCCAAAAATATATTTTTTCTGCACCAGCACCCTTGTATAGTAAAAGTATCTACTTTTTTGTTCAATTTGTTTCAATGCACTACACTTTATCTACAATTTCATTACATGTATACAGCAAATAGGCAAGCATGGCTTTTACATCCTTAATGAAATTTTTTTCTATACAGGGAGGTTTAAAAAAAATATTTGAACAGTTTGCCCAGTAATGTGACACATAATGCATGTACCTTGTTCTCATGTAATCTTCCGAGGAGATTAAAATATGGTTAAAATAATTTAAACTCAGATTTTGCCTTAATAGTGTTGCTGTTTTGTTCTCTGCATTAACATAGTTCTGAGAAGTCATTGTAATCTGCATTTCATGGCACACTTTCCTTTAAAACGTCCAATTTGGCAGGCAATAGAAAAGAGGCTGCAACATCTGCCCTTTGAGGGCACCGGTAGTGACCAAACAGCGTATCAAATTTTGAATACTTTTTGGAATCCCTTCCCCAATGACATCCCTGACCAAAGGTTCATGCATGATGCATCATCACACAGTACATTCAGAGAGAGCTTTGACTTCTTTTTTTTTTATCCTTTTTTTTTTTTTGAGAAGAAAAATATTCCTAGAAGTCTCTCACAGTAACTGCCTCTGTCATCGGGTAGTTAAGGGACATCTGTCTCCATCTCGTGCGAGGCCTCCTTACCGTTCGCTTGGGGTGGGACACTAGAGGATGATCAGTGCGGAGGGATGAGTTGGACCTTATTGCTTTACTACTATTCAGTGCAGGTTCTAGAACCACTTTCACCCAAACAGGAGAACAACAAAAAGCGGAGTTGGAGGACAACAATTTCTTTGTCTGTTTTGTTAGATGGTAAGACGAACGGACAAGTGCCCCAGCTCGCTGCACTGAAGACAGGCAAGCAAAGGCGTTTACCAGTTAACTGATCAGCAGGCAGGCATGGTCAGGTCATCATTGGGTGAAGAGTTCAGAGGTCAGAAGGTCATAGGTTAGTTGCCGGTGGCGGCTGGGTGGTTAGAAACAAAAAAAAAAAAAAAAAAACCAAAACAAAAAAAGAAAGAAAAGATAGAGAAGAGATTAGTTCCAGCTAGTGACGGCTTAATGACAACATGAAAACTAATCACAACTAATAAAAAAAACAAGCATGTTTAATTCTGACATACTGATCGACACCATCTACAGAATGCAATAAAATCATGACAGCCCTCCATCATGATTTGGACACGTGAAGGAGAAGCCCGCTCCCACAAAACTGGTTAACAGGAGAAATAGAGATAAAATACGACTAACGACTAATGGTTAGTAGCAGTCGATGAAGGAAACTGGAAAACAAAAAACAATGAACAGTTTTGGAACTGGGTAGAAGATTTCTGGAACAACAGTCAGTGCACAGCATCAGTATCTGACTGCTATTAAGCATTAGTACCTCCCCAGGTGCAAGCATTAAAGCAACTATTAATGATGGATGTGATTATTAATAACTGGTTGTTAAAAGAATGGAGTAATCTAAGAAATTCTGGACTTAGAGAAACAATTTGGTTCAACAAACTATGGGCCAAACAAAGGGTTTTTTTGTTCAATAAATTTTTTATTGCCTTTCATTTATTCTATTTACAAACAACATGGAATTTCTTGGCCTCATGATACAAAGCAATACTAAACTGTAGTCTAGCAATGTAGGCATCATCGTGGGAACCAGGAAAACGCTCAGCCTGCTACTTTAGCCAGCATTTTCCTGTTCGAAATACTATTTTACACATATAGGACACTTATAAAATGCACTTGCATGTAAACACTGTAAAAGTCCTGCCATTTTAAAGTCTATACTTAAAAAGCTCTAAGTACATCAAAAAATAGAGAAAATATCTAATTGATACTAATAAGGCATTTTAAAACTACAAACAGCTCTCTTTATTCATTTTCAAAGCTAATACTCTGCAAATACAATAAAATCTGACATTTCATATACATTCCTG